GCCACTCCTGCATGAGCAGTGCAAGGGGATTCCCAGGGGCTGTTTTTCTTTGCACCTGACAAGATTCAAAGCAGAACAGGGAGAGAGCATGCAACTTTAACTGAATTTGGGCATGCACACCACCATTACCCTGCAAAGGTCAAACATGCTCTAGGGCTGTGAGAGTTCAGTGAGAGAGATAAAGAAGATGAGGTGTGTGTTGTGTAAGATAAGAGCAAGGGGCTTTATTTAATTAGCAAAGGGTCAGGGCTCTGTGGACAAGGGTGAATGACCTGGCAGCTCCCAAACTGGTGCTGGAGAGGAGGCGCAGAGCCCTTCAGCAGGTTTCTGGCTGCCTTAGCAAAAAAAAGCTTCTGAGTGAGGGCTGAGCAGCATCCACTCACATCCACTGATTTGCAGGGTTGTTGTGAGTGCCGACAGATTTCCTCGGAGGGAGCGTGAGCTCTGTTGGCCAGCCCCTGTCCCTGCATGGTGGCAGACCGCAGGGCATCTGCCAGCCTGAAGCAGTGTCAGGATTGCTGGCTGGCTGACATCCAGGGCTGGAAGCAACAGGCTGCTCCCTGCCAGCGTGGGCCAACATCAGCCTCGATACTGCTGCCCTCCTCTTTGCAGGGAGCGGGTGCTGCTGGGTGGGAGCAAGCACAGAAAGGTCTCTGCTCTCGTACCTGTAGCAAATGGGACAATTCTGCTGCTTCTAGAAAAAAAAAAAAAAAGTCTTAAACTGTATGTATGCAGTGATGCAAGGACCAACACTAAGATGAAGAGGAGGAACACCACCAGCAAAAATAACAGCGAGTGGATAGAACTGAGTGCCTGCCCTTTCCTACCCACAGAGGAAAAATAAATAAATAAATTGATTTCTAGGCTAAAAATGGGTGGAAGCTGGAATTATTGCCAGACTAGAAGTTTTCATACTTAAGGAGGTAGGGAGGGGGAAGGTATAGTGAGTTCAGAGTGTCTGGATGATGGAAAGAAGAGGAGAGTAAAACTGCCACAGTGATTTCCACAGTGCAGCCTCCCAGTGCTGTCCTGTCTTGTTCCACAGGTCGATTTGTGACAGGTGAGGAGCACCAGGATGAATCCAGCATTCATCCACAGCCTGTGTCTGAGTATGACAGTAAGGGCTAGCCTGTTCCTGAGCCTGTGACAAAAGACAGACCTGCATGTTCTAACCATGAGCAGCCTGCACTTTTGCCTGAAAAGGATAGCTGGGGGTTTCGTTTGTTTTGTTTTTTAATATTAAAATGATAGCTTAGCTCTCTTGAAGTCTTATCAGCACAGATACAGAGCATGCCATTCGTTACTGCAGCACAGCCAAAGTAAACTACCCCAGTGCCTGTATCAAGTTGTGCAAAGGGAGTGGGAAATGCTCTGATGTGGAGTGGAAAATGCTGTGACACGGTAGGTTTACCCAGTGCAAGTGGCTGCTTGCCAGTAAAGGAGGAACCGACAATCACACAGAGGCAGAACGTACCCTAAAGGTAGCAAACACAGAGCACAACCTGGAAACGTGTGACCTAGGGTTTATGAAGATCTGAGCAAGTGTGGATGGGGAAAGCAATTTTTTTTGCAAGTAAATGTGTGAAAGTTAATGACAATTTCTGTACCTGCTGCTGTAACAAGCCAGCCACAATGTCAGGTTTTAATGTAGGGAAGCAGCAGCCCCCTGGAGAATACCTGCAGCCTTTTATCACTTCACCAATACATTTATCCCTCTCAAGGCGATGCAGACATCAGAGCACACGCTTGGTTTTGCTCTGTAACAACATCAACATCACAGAGGAGCGTATCCATGCAAAATCTTTATTTGGAGAATGTCTCCTGTGGGACAGCAGCACCCCTCCAGTTTACAGGTAAGCACAGAAGCACGGTATTTGCATTGTGCAGAAAAAATAATACAAAGAAAATTCTTAAAATGCATTCATCTGCTGACATAATATAAACACTATTGAAACTGCTTGCCTCCGTTTTCTCTTTATCCCTCCAGCTCCCTGCCCTTGGGCTACCTAGAGCAGAAAGCTGTGGAAATGAGCTGGTATTAGTTTTGGAGATAGGCCACAGCAGCTTGAAAGTCAGTATGGAGAGTTATCCGCAGTGTGTAAGGAAAAAGGCACGAGGATACTCTGCCTGCTTTCCTTACAGGTTAGGAACAGCTTTTGGAATAGTTCTGATTATTTTCTCTGCCAGTCCAGCTCTGGAAGGAAGGCTGAGATTGCTGCTGCTCGCGGTGGAAAGTTCCTCCTTCGTTTTATAATCTGTATGTTATTGTGGTTTCTCCTGGCTGGGAAACTTCATTTTTATTTCTAATCTCAGCCATGTGTCAGTCAGTTCTAACTTAAGTTCCCTTCACCCTCTCCCTGCTGAGCAGCTCTGCAAGCCATATTGCAAACATATTTTCAGCATGGGTGGGAGGTAGCATTGTGGTTTGGGGCTTTGCTATTGATATCAGGATTTCCCTTTTTCTTTGTTTCAAACATTTTTTCCTTTAAAAATAGAGTTGATGGTAAACAGCTTTCGTTTAGCTCCCAGGGGGAGGCAGAGTGAACACTTTTTCATGCAAGTTTGAATGAAAACATGAAGTCACAATTTCCCAACTTTTCTAAGGGATTCAATGGCATAATCATCTCATGAAATCTCCAGCTTCATTCTTTACTGGGACTGTGCAGAAGAATACAAGTTTAAACTCCGTGGTCGACACCTGTAAGTAAATCTCACTCCAGTAAATTAGGACTGCAGCATCGTGACTTATTGCCCGGGGCATGAAATTAGGGGGGTGTTTGATCCTTAACCAAGAAAATATCAGCGTCCTGCAAAAGGACAGCTTTACAGGAAACATTCAAAAGGCCAACAATTAAAAAGCTCATTTATTTCATCTGATGGCTCCTGTCAAGTACAGATGTGCTTCTCAGATACACTTGCTTAATCAGATTGTGAGCTTGGACAAAATGCCTACCTTGCAATTGCAAGAACTGCTATTTAAAATGCAAGAACATCTCACTTGTACTTTTCTCCCAATTGCTTTTCTTTTGAAAAGGGGCAGTGAAGAAAATATCAACGCTTTAACCAGCCCAGAAAGTCCACTATTGTAAAACTAACATTCAGCTGGCTGGCTGTGTGCTAAAGGCAACAGAGTATTGACCCAAGATATTAATACTGATTTATGATATTAAACAGAAATATTTCACTAAACTCAAATATTTATATAAATAAGCTCTATGGGACTGGCTATTTTCAAAGGGTGCCCACTTGACAGATTAATTGTATTACTTGACCACTTTAAGCACATATTGTCCTTTTTTTTTATTTTTTATTTCCCAGCAGTTGTTGGCTGTTTCAGTGTATAGAAGCTCCCACCAGCCTTTCATTTTTACGTGTTCCATCAGGAGCGGAGACAACGGAACTCGATGGGTTTGATGCAGTTTGGAGTTGTTTGCAGTAAGGACTAATCTGTGGCACGAAACACAAGTCTTTCCTATGCCTAAGGAAAGCTTTTTTGAGTCAGTAGCTGACAAGTGGTGCTTGTTCAGGCCTACTGCTGGGCATTTCAGCTACCAATGGTTGTGAGTCATGCGAAGGGATTTCCCTCCTTTGCCTCTCTCGTCCCACCCTATTTGTCAGTGATGACAGTGGGATTTCAGAGACAGGAGCATTTCTCATTGCACTCTTCTGTCTAGTTCAAAATGCCTCTAGCAAGGACTGGGGTGGGATCAGGGAACCGTGGCTCTTCCTGCAGACCAACTCCTAACTCGTGCTCAGGGGAACCACACGAGGGAGCACTCTCACCTTCCAAAAATGACATTCCCATCAGGGAGTTCCCGAATACCTTCTCACTTCGCACCTCTGCTCCAAACCCAAAGGGACTTGCTTTTCTTGGTCAGCAGCTGCGAGCAATGCTGGAGACTGGTGTGACTTCTTTCTCAGACAGAAGATGAGAGCCTCAGGCTGTGGGTTCACCATGTCCCTCCCTGGCACCAGCGCTGGTACCGTAGCACAGCCACCAGGTGCTGTTATCTCACTAACCCCATAAATTGGCTTTTTACCCTCGTAACAGCACCACATCCTCCTCCTCCTCTGCATCCACTCAGCCATGAGTGCCTGCCCTGGCCATTGCCAATGACAGCTGTTGCCATGACAGCTTTATTGAAACAGGCACTGAAAATCACCATTAACTATTTTTTAACTGCATCTGGTGCAGAAGGAGCTTTCTTTTGACTATTTGCAACTGGCAAAGGGCTTCTGGAAAGGTGTTCATCTATGGTATCATCCCCCAAGCCCGTTCAGATAGCTGATATGGCACAGGTGCCATAGAAACACTAAATCATAGTCATTCCTATGTCACAGTAGGAATATCTAGTGTGGTTAAACTAGCACACCATGTTTAAAGCAGTACTAACTCTAGTCTTCCGTCCATTGGTCAGCCACATTGCTGCAAAATAAAGCTTATTAATGTTTTAAGTTTTAATTTCTCATTGTTGGCCAGTAAAACCAATTCTTCCTGTTGCTTTTTTTTTTTTTTTTTTAAATATTTTGGCTGTTCACATGTTTTGGAAAAGCAATTACTTGACATGAGTGGTGAAACAGACGGTGAAGAAGCAAGTAACCCCTCCCCATCAGAAAGGAAAAAAAAAAAGCACAAAAACTTCATGTTCCACACAGACATGAACTGAAGGTAGCAGGACCAGAGATACGTGACATTTACAGTTCTCCAGAAATCCAGGGTAAACTAAATCCCTCAAGTTATTGCCAGGCATCTCAGCTTTGCTAGTAAGTGGGATGGTAAGAACTGGAGCAATTCTTTTTAGGAAGTAGCTCTTTATGGATGGAATTAGCAGTGGGAAACATGTTTTGCAGCCACTTACCAGCCCCCAGATGTGCTAGATGGAGATAGATGATTATTTTGAAACAAAGGTGAGTATAAGAAGGATGGTAGGAACAGCTTGTCAACAAGCATTGCTAGGACAGCATGCACAAGAGTTAATAAAATAAATTATACACCACAGTTTCTTTTCAAACAAGCTTTAAATAGTCCATATGTAACAGAATCGTGTTACAGACAAGAAGTTCTTTCTGCCAAAACACAGGATGAGTGTTCTTTCCAAAGTACAGACTTAGGAAAACATATTTCAAGAAATCAGATTTTAGAAAATAAAATTATGCTACAAAACCAAAAAAAAAAAAAAAGAATAGTAGAATAGACCAGTGATGTACATGAACAAGTCACCTGAAGAATGTTAGTGACCAGGTACTTACAAAAACTGCACAGGAGTGGACATAAAGGCTTTAAAGACACAGATCCTATGCAGGCTAATTCAGTCTCAAAGAGCAGAATGCATAGGCTTTATTATAAACTCTGTAGGTCATGCATTTGTGTGTGCAGATAAAATACATTAAAGCCATGTATTTGAATGCCTCAAAGAAGACATCTGAACTCCTCCCTGGCACCATCAGTGAGCTGCAGGGAAGAACTGAACCCGGGTTTATTTATTTTCATACACTGGCCCAATCCAAAACCACAATGTGCAAAAAGAAGTTAAGTGAAAGAAAGAAACCAGGTATTTCATCTGAGCTGCTCAAGGACACTGGGATGAAGATCCAAACCCTTTTTTTTTTGGTAATCACAGTCACTGGAATGTTATGGCAGCAACACCAGCCCAGACGGTTCTCAGCTGCGCTTCAGAAAGTTGCTCCAAGAAGAGCGATCCAAGGGTTGAGCGGGGAAAAAACAGAAATTAACCCTGTAGTACATACACACATACATACATGGATGGCTCTTTTCCCAACAAAATAAGGGAGCACTACTGGATCTGTGGCAATACGGCGTGTGCATTAAGATACACAAGTGAAATCTGCTTGGGTCACCTTCACTCAGACGGATAAGTCTTCTTAAAATATAATAATAATAATAATAATACTTCTTTATACTTGCCACTTGTTAGCAATTGTTTACATCGTAGAAAAATAGATAGTATTCTGTAACAAGAAATATAGTTACTTTGTTAAAATGGGCTATTTTAAACCAGCTACTATTCTTTCATATAAAGAATTTCTAAACAGCAAAACAAAAATAGGTAATACTGAGTGCAAAACAGCCAGTGGTATACTTTGCATTGGTCTGAAACACTAGTTGCCAACTACTATAATTACACGTTCTGTACATTGTACTACAAAAGTCTTCATCTTTTAGAAGCTTTGGGGTTTTTGCTTTTCTTCTCTCTAGGTGGCAAGTAAGTATTTAATCCGAGTAAATTCAAACTCTGGAAGTCAGAAATAATTTCACAATCAGCCTTCGCTCCCATTGTCTCACATTCCTTCCCCCGCTTTGTGCAGCAGCACTTTCTACTTATGGCCAAAAATCCCTTAAGTTAAACAAAGTTTAGACTATAGAGACTGAGAAGTTTAGCTTATAAATTCACATTCTTTTCAAAATCATTTCACTAATCTCCCACGTTTACATTTACACCAAAGAGAAAGCTCAAAAGCCTCGCTTTATGCACTTCATCATCCCTGCTGAAGACTGAAATGCTGCTCAGACAAAAATGCTTTGCCAACTGTAGGCATTAAGTCTTAATGCTACAAAGCCAGATGGTCCCAATGTAGAAGTCAGACTTTTCTGCGGTCTCCGCAACAGTTTCAGACACAAATAGCTAATTCCTAGTGCCAGTGGTAAAGGCATTACCAGTACACCATGAACACCACGAATGGAGGCAACTTCCAAGCATCAAAGAACAAAAACATACAAAAAGCACCCAGCAAAAAAAAAAATAAAAATCAGTGAAACATTCTTAGTAGAGCAGGAACCTCTGTTCTCCTCTCTGTTCATCTCACACCTTTTCAACTTTGGTGGGGTCATACGTGTCTGAAAAAGAGAAGAAAACACCATCAATAAGGTACTGTGAATCTTATTTAACTCTGATAGGTACAGTGAGTCATGGAAATATGTAATCTTTTTCCTAATTTTAATATAAAAAGGGAAGCTAAAACTACTACATTCCTGACCCAAATTCTGTATTTGCACTGGTGTAACCTGGGAGCAACTCAGATCAAATGCATCGAGATAAAACTTGGGAAGCCTTGGGTAGGAAGGAGCAAGCTCACTGACTGCTAAATGATTACATCTGTTTTTCAGATGCTTCGAGAGGGAAGGACATAAGATTTGCCCCCCTTGTATTGAAGACTCAGGACAGGGAAATGCTGCAAGCTCTTTTCATCAAGATCTTTTCGTTTGATTGTGTGTCCCCAGCCCAAGGTTCATTCAGTGGTGTAGCAGAAAGCACTGCTGTTACATCCCTGTGGTCAGACCGACCTGCTTCAGTCCGCAGCTCACGGTTTGAATGTTACTCACTGAAGTGAGAACTGGTTCACTAACACTGGTCTTGGCTTTTAGCCTACCTCTCCTCAGGTCACAGGACACGCCTCACTTTGCATTTCTTCTCTGAATGCCCAAGGATGCTCTTCTATCTTTTATGTTGATGTGAGGGAATGTTTTCATTCCAACAGGCATAAAAATCCTCAGAGGGGGATTTCTGCTTTAGGTGCAAGTGTCCATCTGTAGCACCCAGACCCACGCCAAGGCTAAGAAGAAGCTTCTGGGTATGGCCCTAGTGGGTGGATTCCCGGGGAGGGATCTGTGATTGTTTTTCTTGCCTTCTCTCCCCGAATTGCTAGGCCAGCTAAGAAAGGAGCCTGTGCTGTGCCAGCACTACCTCTGTTTTCCGAAGTGCTTATCACTATGAAGCCTCTTCTGGTGTTTCCAGACTTCAAGGACAGACACCACATGAATAAAAAAAAAACAACTCAAGGGGAAAATAGTGTACGAGGGCCAGTGCGCTCCAGGACAATGCTGCGTCTTTCTAAGCTTCAGGCATTGATGGTGCGAGAGGATGTCTCCAAAGCAGCGATACTTTTTCAATTGCAAGTGTTTTTTCCCACCTAACCTACAAGAACATCCACAACTTCTCAACTGCTCTGCATGAGGTTGACCTAAGGATAAAAATGGATTCACATTTCAGAAGTCTGATTTTCCTAAGGCCTCCGTGGCCCCATTTTCACACACGTTCACGCTGTGAGGGCTCACCACAACACGGAGGTGCTGCCTTTGGGGGAGAGGAAATCAGGCCACAAGATTTGGAACTGCGTGGCCCAATTTATTCCCTGATAGCTTACCCAGATCTTCAGCATCTAAACCAAGGCCACAAAAGGCCCAGACTGCCAGGAAGACTCTTGGCTGCCTCAGACTGTATCTGAGGGGCAAATACTGGAACTCCTGCACTGCTGCACAAACATTTATTCAACGTTTGGTTAAGCTAACTTGAAATACTCTCTACAGAAACAAAGCCAGATCATTAGCCTCACAGAAGCAGTCTTCAAACAGCAAAGGAGAAAAGACATCGAGTGCATTTGGGAACATTTGGAGATCAGATTGTAAGATCAGCTTCTTGCACTGAGTTTCAGGAGAGGTCTTACTCTGAGATGACTGTTGGAGCAGGAGTTAGCTAGGACAAACATCAGGCTAAAAAATCCGTGATTTTCTACACAGAAATCTTCAGTCCTGCCTCACTCAGGTCAAACAAACACCTCGTGGCTGTTGCAGCTGCGAGGGAACTGCTGCAATGGGAGCACGCTGCAGAATGCACGCCTGGCATTGTCAGCAGGAAGGATAAAATTAGACCTCATTTACTGCAGAATAACTCAAAGATTCCAATAAAACACACACAATCTGTTTTGGTACATCCCTGAAGTCATGTCACCACAAGAGTTATTTTCTTCATGCTGGCAGAAACCCCCCGGGAGGAAACGTTTGGGAGGCGTGTGGGGCGTGCTCGCCCTGATGGGTATGAGGAAGCTGAAGGAACCCACTTGGAAAATCAGGTCTAGAGAATACAGTTCAGGGCAGAAAGAGCTGCAGAGCTGAGGGATAAGGAGAAAGACACGGAGGAAAAGGCTGCAAGACTGCAGGAGTCAATACTCAGGACTCATAAAAACACATTTTTTTGTCAGAAAGAAAGAAATACTTCCACTTTGAAGTATGCTCAGTTTAGTTTCAGTCCCTCTGTACTGGAAAACTGTGAACAGATTTGCATCGATGGAGTTTAATGAACAACCTGGGCAAATTTCAAGGCAGAGTGTCAGCTGTTGCAGACGGGATGGAAGAACGGAGGAGGAGAGTAACAGTAATTGAACAATTTTTGCACCACACATTTGCTCACTCCAATTCATTTCATGTAGCAGACAAGTGGCCTGGGACATTTGTCCCTTTATGCAGATCTATGGCAATGACTGGTTTTCAGTTGCTCACTCCATCCGATGCCATATGAAAAATGCTTTGGAGAAAGAACAGCTCGTGCTGCTCTGGGGATGCATACGGACTACACAAGTTTATATGCTCTTGAGAGATGAGGAACATCAGAAAAAAAGAAAAAAAAAAGGTGTTCACTGAAAAAGACAACTTTCCATTTGACCCGGGAGTAACAGCTATTCTCAACATATGATCTGGAAAATATTCATGAGAGAGAGAGAATTTTCCAGGCCCCTTAATGCAGCCTTTTCCCAGAGGCTTCCCAGAGGAACATCAGATCTTATTTTTAGTTTCTCTTGAGCTCTGATATGGCATGTGTCTACTGAAGTATCAGAGAGGGAAAAAACACGTATTCAGGGAGAGGCTGTGAGTAACTCACCACACGTTCCCAAGCACTGGCACAAGAGTGGCTGTCTTTGAACCCCGTTGGTTGAAGCTGGCAGCTCCCTGAAACAATTCGACAGAGAGCAGACCGCAGGGAGCGCGCCCGTCGCGGTGAATGAGCTTCAGTGTCACAAGTTGGCTTTACAGCAACTTGTCCTAAAATAGGCTCCCTCCTTACCTCTTCCGCAGGGGGTGGCAGCCAGATGGGGATAGTACCACCTACAGCCTGTTGCTATTTGAGCCTCGTTACGTGGGCACAGGCAGAGCTTACATAAAGCAGCTCCCCCTTGGCTCTCCAACACGAGGGTCTTACCTAAAGAAAAATCTCTGTCCATCTTCTTCTTGTCCACTCCAGCTAAATAGCCGTTTTCGCCGAGGGAGATGACACGCTTGGACACAGCTCCGGAGTTCGCCACTTTGCTTCCTCTCTCCTCTGGTGCCCTCGACAGCTTCTCCTCGTCCACCTCCTCTCCCGAGTCCGCGCTTTTAATGCTCAGGCGCCGCATCCGGGACACGGAGTCCACTTCCTTCATGCGCACCAAGCGCTCCATGGCAGTCCGGCTCGGGGGAGACGTGAGCTTGCCTTGGAGCGTCTCGATCACTTTTGAGGTGCTCCTCACTCTCTTCTCCGAATGCTGAGACACGGATGGCTTGGGCACCGAGTTTTGGTCTTCGTTTTGGCTGGGACTCGCAGGTTGTTCAAACGCTTGCTCCCTCACCAACGTTTTAGGGCCGCCTTCGCGGTGCGTGGCCTGGCATTCATCAAGGTACCTCTCTCGGTTCCTCTCTCCAACAAAGAGCGCGCTCTCTGTCCAGCCACACTTGCGCCTGCCTTCGTAAGAATCATCTTTTTTTCCTTCTTTGCCACTTTCTGTGCTCTCCGCTGATGACTCAAAGTCCTGGGCACCATTCGCAGGGCTCACGCCTGGATGGGGCCCACCGTGGTCATCTGGAAGGAGAGACTCCACTGCTATCTCTATGCCTAAAATTCTTGCAGCTCTTGCCTGCAAGGACTCATTCACGGGGATTTCCACTGCGTTCTCATTTGAAGAGTGATCACAATTGTTAGCACCAGGTCCTGGGGCTACATCAAGTCCCACCGACCTCAAATCCGGCTCAGAGCGCCCTTGGCTCCTCTTCGTTAAGGACAAGCGTACCACTGAGCCTCTCTCTAATACTGGATCGTTTTGAGGAGCTGCCCCTTTGCTGAGTTTAACGAAGTCCAAGTAATTTTGGTCTTCGCTCATCTCCTGTAAAAGGGGATTATTGAAAGGATTGCCATGGTAGCAACTGCTTGGGCTGCTGGACAAGAATCTCTTGATAGGTCCCGCGCGAACGGGCTGCTTGTTTGCTCTGCTCTTGGCTTCCTCTGCCCTCATTTCTGTTATCAGGCTTCCATCTGCTGGCCTGACTCCTTCACTGCTCCCTCCTGGCTGCGAAGAGCGTTGAGAGCCAACGCAGCCCGGCTCACCACCGTGCTCGGTCCCCACGCTCCAACTTTCAGACTTGCTCTTAACTCTCCCTGACTTCAACACGGGCACCTCTGGCACACCCGTTTCCAACCTCCCACCACGTTTTGGCTCCTGGTTCTCATTCCTGGACGCCCTTCTCTGGGGAAGGGCATGTGCCAGCGGAGAAGCCATGGCACTTTCCAAGTCTTCTTCACTGCTCGTGCTCTCCTCCTGCCCCTGCAGCTCCTTGTTGAAACTCTCCAGCTCGCTTATCGCGTCCCAGGGGCGGCGACTGACGGGCTTCAGAAGGAACTGCCCAAACAGCTCCTTACTGTTGCAGGGAGCGCCTGCTTCTCCCTTAACCACATCGCCCTTGGGAAGAAGGCCGTTCTCCCTCTCCTGGGCGTGCAGGGGCTGGCTCTGGTGGCCCTTTGGCGAGGAGGCCTGCAGGATGGAGGTGGCAGTCCTGGAAAAGGCGCTGTTGCTGGACTGGCTGAGGTACGTCTGGCCCTTCATGCCGTAAGAGCTCTGCCTGCAGCCTCTCTCGTCGGAGGGTGACCCTGATTGTTTTGACCTTGTGGTGGATGCTGCACATCCCAGCTGCTTCGGAGACAGCAGCCTGGTGCTTTCGGGCTGCCCTGGCTTTGTACCACGGCAAACCTCTGGGCTCTGAGGTTCTTCGGAAAAACTGGTCTGTGTCTGCTGGTCTTTGTACTGATCACCTGGCCAGGAGCCAGAGTATTTGAGCTCTCTGTGTTTTGCAGGCTGAATAAATCTGAGGTCATTCATTTGTTTGAACTCTTCTGGTCTCCACAGCTCTTGTTTTTGTAACTCATTTTTATTGGTCATGCTTCCTGTAAGCGCCTGTAACTCCAAGTCCGTCGAAGACATACTTAAGAGACTTTGTTCTTGCAAAGCCCCATTGTTATCAAACCCGTTCTTATCAGGGCTCTGGGTTATGTTGTTGTTCCTATCTGTATCTGGCAGATTTGACTCTGATTTAACTGGGATGGAGACCAAACAAAATATAGTTTCATTCATTTTTTTCTTTGAACTCTTTTTGCTCTGCATCCCAGTTCCAGGTTCAAACTTCTTCACTTTTGTAACGGTCTCGCAGGTGCTGTCCATATGTGAGCTCCTTGCAGGAAGCCTGCCTCTTGTGTACTCCAGTGCCGGCGTCGTTCCGGGGGCTGTGATTAGTTGAGCTACAACTGTCTCTTTGGTCCAGCAAGGCACAATGGTTCTGATCTCGGATGGACGGCGCCAACCACCTGCAGCCGGGAGAGGAGCTGTCAGGATTTCTTTCTCCCTTTGCAGAACCCGGGGAGTGTGCTGCATCCAGAAAGGCACTGTGGTACTGCGCGTCGAGATCTCGCTCCTGCAACGTGCCAGCACTGGGACTCCGCGCGTTTTCACCGCGCTTGGTGCTGTCCTGCAGCCCTTCGGGAGGGGGGGCGATTTTAATGTGCCGTATCCGAGGGTCGTCGAAGGGGATGTACTGCACAGAACGCAGGTGCTCAGCGGGGCGTCTCGGGTGGCTCTGCTTCCCGTGAGGAGGGTGGCTGTCTCTGCAGGGGTCGCCCCCTCTTTCAACGCTATTTGCAGGCGGTCGCAGGCAGGTGACAAGCCGCTCTGCAGAGTCCTGCGGGCTGCTGCTGGCATGCGTGGCATCGGTAGGCACTTCGCTGGGGGAATGTGGAGTCACGGCGTGATGGGGAGGGGATTTGTAGGATGGGGGAGGTACATAGACCGGGGGCTCCAAACCCGAGTCTTGAACGCAGGCGTCTGGCCTCGGCTCGTGTGCTTTGGCTAAGTAGGGAGCGGGGTCGTCCTTCTGGTGGTGGTCCTGAAAGCCAGCGGTGTCAGCGGGTGCCCTGCTCTGTCGCTGCAGTTCGTAGGAGGGAGGCAGCAGAGGCCTCCCGTACTTGGGTTTCACCAGAGGCAGGAAATGGCTCCCCGTTTCGTGGTGTTTGGCCGATTCCACAGCCGGCCTGCTTTGGGGGTAGGACGGGGCTTTACTTGTGCTGAGGGAGCTGTTGCTGTTGGTCAGGGAGGGCATCTCCACGCACCTCATGCTGTCTGGAGACAGGACTCTGGGCAGGGACTGCGATTTCCCCTTGCTGTGGGCACTCAGCACGTCGTCTCGCAGGGTCAGCGCATACAGCTCCTGGAGCAGTTTCTCCCTCTCGCCGTCCGACATTTGCCTTCCGACTTTTTTCGGCTGGTTCCAGCTTTCCAGCCTCAAACCTTGCCAGCTGCAGTCGCCGGGCGCCTCGCAGTTCTCCGGCAGGCCACCTCTCCTGACGTACTCTGCTCCAAGCCCTGCCTTCAGCTGAGCGTCCTTGGGGTGCCGGGGCACCCCATGGGCTGCCGCCAGCCCTTGCATTTCCACTCCTCCTTTCTGGGAATAACCCTGCAGCACGCTGAAGTCTTGTCCTCGCCGCCGCCAGTAGGCCAGGTCCTTGTCAGCCTTGGGCTGGGAAGGCCACGCTAGTTGAGGCCTGTCATAAGTCCTGAAAAAGAAAGGCAGTGTCACAGGCACGTTTCCACAGCCGCCCCTTCTTTCCCTCATGGGTGATCCCATTAGGTCGAATGCTGAGTTATGCCAATGGGGTTTCTATAATTACTTTCAACCACGACACTTTATGATTTTAGTGAGAGGATTTAAGTCAGTCGTTAGCACGAGCAGAGGAATGGCGAAGGAACTGATGCTCTGCTGGCATGTTGTTAGCTGTGCAAAGCTGTTAGAAAGAGACACGAATGCACACGGTTACACGCTCTGTGAACACGTTCACCCCTCCTCAACTGGCAGACAGAAATAATTACTTTGAGTTTATTTCTGCACTCTGTTACACCAAAACCTAGAAACTTTAAGGGGACTACTGGGATAGGCGAGTTTAATAGGAATCTTAAACTAAAAAGTAGAGGGTAAGGGGAACAGGTAGAGGGCTATTTCTTAAGATACATCCTGTAAGAAGCACTGATTTGCATCGTAGTGCAAGAGCTGAAATTAAACATGTCATCTCCTGCACTGATTCTCGTTCATCTTTCTAAGGGAACAAATCTCTTTAAAGGGCTTTGGACGAAAGGATAGATGCCACAACCGTGGTGACGTATTAGCACAGCTCTGAGTAAGGTGGAACCACTATTTAAACCTAAAACACACCAAAAGAAGTATAACTTTTTTGTTTTTTAACAAAAGAGGGATGACCTTCAACAATCCATTACTGAAATACGAAACACGTCACACATTTTATTGCAAATTAGAGATTCAGAACACAGGTTGCCATGAACAGAACATTTTTTTCATGTGTTCTGAACAGACTGCAAACTATTTTGTATATTACTGCTGAACAAAATTGGTATCCTTGCATATAAATAATTAAGCTTCTACTTGAACCATGTCCTGCTATCCTTGTGCCTAAGGTGTCCAACAGTGTAGCTGCTATTACACTCCGTAGCTGCCACCAGCATACAACTAGAATGAAAAATCAAAATTGACATAAATAGGACAAGGATGTAGAGAGAACCCAAGAATTTCTTCCTCTTCCCTCAACCTCAAGGTACATAAACACTGTCATCTAGCTCATTTTTCTACTAAAAGCGCCCTATTTGAGTAGTAGTTTGTGAAAAGATAATATAATTTAAAATTCAGAATGAGAATTGCATCATCCATCTCCACAGTAATTTTCTTTTGTGTAGATTAACTTCATGCTCTGACTACAAAAGTTTAAAACTAAGCTGGGATAAGGAGCATCTTGTTCACATTAACTCGACCGAATTAAGACTTAACATCTGAGCAAAGCGTTTTGCTTCTGAAGCACAAAGCACAGTTCAGTTCCTGAGCCCCACGAAGTAATAAATGTCTTAATTAATCAATGAGATATAACGGGACGCCTCCTATGCTGGGAAGTTGATTGCAGTAACAACAAACATTTCTATGCATTTCAGCGTGTAAAAACATGCAGCTGAACAAAAGCTGCCTTCTTCTGAAATTGATCACGAGGGGATGGGCAGCTTGCTCTTTCTGTTCCATCAGATCTGCTAGGAACACAAAATACCTGGTGTGATTTCACCATTCATCATTAAAGGGACTATAAAAAAAATCCCAGAAAGTACAGAGTCATAGATTCCGAGATCAGAAGAGACTGTTACGATTATCTGGCTTGACATCCTGTTCAATGCAGGCCAACACAACTCCCTGAAATGGTTTCTGCTTCACTGGCAGCAGGTCTGCTAGAAAAGCATCTAAAGTCTGGATCTTTAAATTTCCGGAGATGGCGAATCTATCATAATTATTGCAAGGGTTAAATCAGAGTTAAAAACAAACAAACAGGAAACAAAACAAAATGAAATGTTGAATATAAAGTGCAAACACGTTCTTATCAACCTAACTATGAGAACACTGGGGGAAGGAGGTATGGGGGACAATAATGCTGCGATTTGCAACAACTACAGCTAACACTACAGGAACAAAGTGGGCTGCCTGTTTAAAGGATTTAATAGGAAATTGGGAATAGGGAAGGAAGCATTACTCAACCCTTTCCTAGGAAACCACTAAAAGAACAGTTTGGGTTAGTTTGCTTTTTTAAAGACAAACAAAACCCAAGCTCGGATATTCATTGAAGTAAATTTGCTCTAAGTTAGGACAGCTTCAGTTACATAAGGGATGTTCCTCCATTTATTAAAGCTATTTGAATGATTTAATTTATTTCTAAAGAGGAGAAGATTAACAGCTAGGCTCTGTAATAAATTTCTGAGCACGATACAAACCACCACGTGACCACCACTGCAGCACGAGTGCAGAAACGACGTTTAAAAGGCGGTATTTAGGGCATTTTAAAGCTGATCTTTCCTATGGTCCATTCATCCACGAGGCAGAGAATCTCATTCTCTCCAGTGCCTGACCCAAGGAGCTGGAGATGGTTACACACAGCCTGCTTCCCGGGCCCTGTAAGCCTCTGGAGAGGATGGCACCAGCACTGTGCAGGGCAAGGGGATGCTCCACAGCCTCCTGACAGGCCTCCAGCCTAGCACAGCCTAAGGACACCTCAGCTCCTGAGGATTTAGGGGATCTATGGCACTGCTGGGTGATCCAATGAAGCGGTGGAAAGGGGAAGCATCCCAAAGTCACCTCAAGTTCAAAATGCTGCCTCAGCAGTGCCACAGGTCGGGATGGTGAATGCCAGTCGTGCTGTGGTCTTTGCATCCAGGACACGTCATCAACGAAGAGCTCTCACGGTACCTCTTAGCACTTCCCTGTCCATGCTGCTCCCAGTGCACAAGTCTGCCTTGCTCCGGGCTGCAGCCACGGTGGTGCACGAAGAAATGTGCTTCTGGCCACAGGGAGCTTCACAGCTGGCTCTCTGGTGGCAGCCAGGGACAGAGGGGTCCCACGGGACCAAGAGGAAGATTTAATCATTGGGAACTTTTTCTAACAGGCCAGCTTCTAACAGACATCACGACTGCTGTCATAAAGTGCTTTGAGCTGAATCTATATAAAATTAAGCTAACAAAGCATTTTAAAAGCATAAACTCTTGCTGGCTCTCTACGAATCTTGGGCCTCTGCAAGAAAGGAGGCTGTCAGCCCACCCTGTGCTGGCTGCACGACCACATCTCACCCAGCTGGTGCTCTCACCGCAGCAGGGCGAAGCTGCCCAGATGTTGGAGCAGGTCCCACCAGAAGTAAAGGAGCATGGCACAGGGCATGAAGGCAAAACCCTGCAGGATGAGGCCATTGTAGGGCCATCTAACAACAGCATGGCAGTTTCAGTCCTTGTTTTTTTGGCTCCTAGTGGGTAAACAGAAGGCATTAGGCACCCAGTTGCCCAGGGTGCATGAGATTTTTTCACCAGGACAGACTTTGTGCCCTGCAGGGAGGCACTGTGAAGAACTTATTTCCAGGATTTTGGCAGCAAGGTGGAAAAAATTCAGGGCTCTGTTCTGGACAACTGGCAACTTCTGTTCTATTTTGGGCTCCTATCCTCACAGCATCTCATCCACATTGCAACACCAGCACAGTTGTCTAAGTTTTGCAGCAGGTGATCTCATTAATGATGCTATCTGCTTATCTCTAAATTGGCTAGCTACCAACACAGTTCCTCCCACACAAGCAAGGAAGCGAAGTGCATCTCCTCCACGCTCAGATGAGACGCAGGAGTTCTGCAAACGGTCCCGTCTCTACCCGTAGGGGCAGCCTCCTCGTTTTCTTTGCCTCACAGCCTCTTCCAAACCTTTCCCGCGTGGCCTCCTGATGCTTGGCTAAACCAGGACAGCCAGGACAGCACTCCCACCACCACATGGAGGTTATGCTCCCCCAAAACCTGCCTGAAGAACACCAGGGTGGAGCAAAGCACGTCAGCAGAACAGCGGAACAATCCCAATGTGTGGAGACAATAGCATCACCTCCTGACCTCGCAAAAGCTGGACAACACCCCATATTTCTGGGGTGCTTGGAGGCTCATCAGCTCTTCTACACCCAGCACTCTGAGCATGAGTTGGGACACACTCCCTTGCCACGTTACTGAAGGTCTTTGTTGGAGGATGAGGTCCCGAGGCGAGAGCCTTGCGTCCTGCTTTCAGTTTCAAGCCCGTTCCGCCAGAGGAAGGGGCTTTTCCTCACGAAGCACCCCCGTCACAGCTGGGCTGGCTTCCAGTCCTGCTCTCGCCCCTTTCCTTTGTTGATTGGGAGCACTCAAATAGCCACGGAACAATGCCCAAGCCGTGCTGTATACACACAGCTCTTCCTGCCCGGCCTGCCCCGGCCCCGCCGCGCACGTACTCGGCATTGAGCACCCTGCGGCTGTGCAGGCATGGGGTATGGAGCGGCGGCCAGAGCTTCCACTGGCTGTGAGCTGCTTTGAACAGAAACACACGGGCACCTTCGCCAGTTTACTCCACGAGAGCAGCCTTCGGAAAACCAGAAAGTGCCCTGTGCGTGGAGGAACCCACCAGATCGGTGAACCCACCACAAAACCAGGCCATGTACATGGCAGAAGAAGCTGGGCTCTTTTTTTTTAAAAAACTGCTCACTTACAAAAGGAAGAGCTTCTGCCTCTCTTTTTTATTTTTATTGCTCTTGGACCGAGCTTTCCCCAGCCCCTCAGCAAGGCCCTTCTGTGACAGACCATATGAGCAAATGGCCACTTCCCACCACCCCGGTACCCTCAGGGGCCTCTCCGAGCAGGAGGCGAGCAGATGTGGACCTGCGGGCATGGAAATGGTCACTAGCAGGAAAGGATCACAGGAAGACGGTGTCACGGGTTAGGGACATGCTCAGTTACCCGCCCGGAACCCCAAAGGAAGAGAAAGCAAAGCCATGGCATGATGCTGAAACTTACCCCCCTTCTGAAGTATGAAAAGTGGACAAACCCTGAAGGCCATGGTGGTAACCAGGACCCGCTCGCCTCCCGTGGCTCCCATGGCTGCTCTCGGTGCTGCTCGAGTTGGTTTTCACCAGAGGCTTCTTGCTGTAAGCTCTCGAGTCTGCTTCGAACCCGTTCAGCGGCCTCTGAGCAGGCCTGGTGCCCGCGGTTTCACGCCGGTATCCATCGTATCTGTCCTCGTAGGAAGCAGGGGGGTTTCTAGCCAATTTGTATCCATGGGAAATCAGGAGGTCCTCCACACTGAACATATTGCGCTGCTTTCGCTCACAGCTGCGCCATCAGAGAGCTCCCTCCAGCAGGACCCATCACTGGAAGAAAAAAAAATCACACAAACAAACTGCTTTAAGCACGGGAAGGCATCCTTCATCAGCTGGCGGGCTGCTGGCTCAGGCCGTCTCACCGACGGATCCAGCGCTCATTGCAGCTTTCAGATCTCCTCCAAACCCTTGCACCAGAGGTAAACCCACCGTTTGACTCAGGTGTCTGCTTCAAAACCAGCTTTCCTCTGGCGTGCTCTGTAAGCCAGGAGGAGGGGACGGGTTAGAAGGCAAGCCGCCTCTCCCAGCAGCTCTGCATATTCCAATTAAGAAGAAATGTTCACATGGAGGACAATGTATGCATGAGAACAAAAAGTCATTATGCGACCACATGAGAAACCCAGGTAATGTCATGCAATACCTTAAATAGTCTATTTTACAGATTATTTTCTATTTGGCCTAGGCTGACCTGCTGGAAACCAGTAATTCTCAACTAGAATGACACAAAGCCTAAAGTTTCAAGCGTGCTCTATTTTTACAGCAGGCTTTCCCTGCGAAAAACGACTGAAATCAACCTGAGGTGCCCATGTCTGTTGTGTCCCAGTGATTCCCAATCCAAGATTTTTCTCTCCGGTGACAGTCCTCAGTTCAGGACTCCAGCGGAGCTTCAGCAAACTGCATTAGCTGGCCAGAAACAATCTCTATTGTCTGTGCCCCCCTCGCTGCTTGTTATGGCGATTACAGAAAACCCATTCTTCCGTAGTTTTAAAATGCCTGGGAGGTGTTCGTCTATTCTGCAGGTCGTGCACAGCAAGGGACTGACCTGGAGATACTCCTCCGGGCTTGAACTGCGCTACCAAAAAAAAAAAAAGTGCACAAATGAGAAGTAAAACAAGCAGAAATAGACTTGTTATGTAAAACATAAATCACTCCAGTGGATTTTTGCTGCGTAAGGACTTCATCTGGCACGCCTGGTGAGTGGTGTGTGTCCTTCAGAGCAGCAGGTCCACCTGAGGGACCGGAGCCCAGCGTTAGCAGCCACCCAAAAGGAGATCGTCTCTGCAAAGATCACAAAAAAACAAAGTGTGTTTTATACACAGGGCTCTAAGGCTCTTCTTGGGCAAGAGGTAAGGGAGAGCCCTCTTCATTGCTATTAACAATAATTTGGATGGAGCAACTACCGGGATGGCTGCTGTGCATTTATTAGGGCTAAACCTCTCGGGCTGCCTACCCACAGAAGCTGACGGGTTGCCTTAGTACCTAAACCAGTTTCTGTGGTGCAGTGCTCCACGTACTGCAGCCACCCTGCAGCTCTCCAGCTTTATCCCCATCCCCTTTTTGCTCACGCCCTGTCTGCAGGATGCCCTGGGGCCGCTGGGACCAGCCCACTGCGTGGCTCCAGGCGTGTGGAGAGCCCCTGGAGAGCACCAGGGCAGCCCATGGCATGGAAAAGCAGTGTTTTAAGGCAGAAAATTGTGCACGTTTTAAATGCAGAGCCACGATTTAGCCGGTAACCTGCAAGGCTGCAAAAGTGGCTTTGCAGCCTGCGAGCCTGCTTAGCATTGAAACCGGTTTGTCTCTGGAGCTTAATGAATCTCTTTCCTTTTCACGCAGGCAGCGCTACACACCCTTTAAAAACAGAGGAATAAAGCTCTGCGCCGAAAATATTTGAGGAGTCTCCCTTGCTAGGACAGGACTCCAAATTCTCAGTGAGTGCTCCGGGTATCGGAGCCAGCAAGCAGGCGGGGAGGAGCAGGACCCTTCCCTGCCGGAGGGGAGGGAAGGCTTTGTGGTTTATTTTTGAGTGCTGACCTAAAAAGCTGATTTTCCATCCTCCCCCTGCCCTGGACCGTGCGAGGAGCCAGGTAGGAGCAGAGCAAGGGGAACAGCTGGCTGCTAGAGCTGCTCAGCCTCTAACGAGAGGAAGATCCGATGTGACTACCAGGGACGGCAGAAAGCCCATCGCAGGTGCAAGGAAGAAATGTGCTTTTCCTGCTATTATTGTCAGGCTGGAGCATGGCTTAACCCCCTCGCTGCCTCCTGCTGCAGCCACAGGGACATCGGGGAGGCAAAGGCAAAGGGACAAGGCACCCCCAGCCGTGGGGCTCGCTCTGATCCCCTTTTTGGTGAGGAGGAGCAAAACCCACAGGACATCAACCCTGTCAGCACCCGATGCCCACAGGGACACCGGGCATCTTTCCAAAACTGGCTGCAGCGCTGGGACACTCTTCCCACCCTCCCTTGGATAAATAAATCTAAAAAAAAAACTAAAATCAAAGGGATCGGACCGGCAGGAGTAGCAAAACCATGGCTGCGGTGCCGTCCTGTAAATAATCCGTGAGACTGGGCCAAAGAGTAAAGGCTGCGCAGAGCTTCTAATTCGAGGCAAGATCAACAAGGCTGCAAAACAGTTTGTTTTTCCAGCGCTCGGTTATTTTGTTTGCCAATGACATCAGTGCTTTTCTGATAGGGTTTGCTTCCTGAGGATGCCTGCTATCTTGCCAGGGTTTCCGACTTGTCCCCGTCAGCCGGTACAGCCCCGCACCGAGCTGCAAACCGGGGCCAAGCTTTTCTCTGGAAACTTCTTCACGGTGCTGTCAGATGGAGAGGAGCGAGCGCGGGCTGAGCTGCGGAAATCTGCGTGGCCTGTGTGCCACTGAGACCTCTGTGGCCTTCAGGGCAGGCTCTCGGCGTGCTCCTTCGCTTGGTGCTGATCCTGGGGAAGCACCCACGCAGTTCAGCGGGATGCCAGAAGGGACAGGGAAGTGGCCTGGAGCTGGCTGCTCTCTGTCATACCTCTTGCTACTTCAAGTGGAAGGTGGCAACCCTCAAACTGTTCGAACACCACCCCTGGAAGTCCTTCTTGCACCCAACTCTCCCTATTCCACCTCTGCGTCACTATTTACACTATTTTGCAAGCAATTCTGTGCAACTTGACAGAAAGGAAAGTAACCAAGGGGCATTGCTCACGTTGCAAAACGAAGCACACAGCCATCATGAATTGCCAAAATCGAGGCACCCTGAACAACCCAACGACTTGCTGCTGGCTGTGATTGCGTGCCTCCGGGCTGCTGAAGTCTGCAGGACTCCTGCCTCTGCTGATGCACGGGGCAGGTGGTGCTGTTCTTCATGGGCTTTATCCACAGCAGCTATCCAGACACTGCTCTGAAGACGGAGCTACTAACAGGCATCTGAATTACAAAGCGTATTATCTAGATGGGTCACACATTAAGCTAGCTTATCTTCACTCACTTCTCTTAGCGTGCGCAGTGACTTTATTCTCATTTTATATCAGACACGTGCCAGACAGCAGTATTTATGTAGACAGACTAAAGTGAAAACAGCCCTCTCCGTTCTAGGAGCCCAGCCTGAAGTGGCTGCAAGCAGATTTTTCTGAAGCACAGGGTTAAAACGGAACAAGGTATGTTGAAAGCAACAAGCAAGAGGCCAAGGGGCTGCAAGGTGTGCCACGTGTGGCCAGCCAGGTGCCCACACGACGAAGGAAACCATGGGGTTACCCAACAAGCTGGTTGCAGTAATTAGTCTAACTCCGTCCCTCTGCCCACCTAATCCAGCACCAACATGTTTGGCCAAGCAGCCTGCATCTCCCTCCCACCCTGGTGGTTTCTTACCTCTCTGCACACCGCTGCCTTCATTCCCTGTTCTTTGGGAAACCGAGGAAAAGTTTCCCTGGGCAAAGCTGGGGCTGCGCAGGCACACTCTGCTCACACATCCATGGGAGCAACGAGGGCACCAGCACTGCACCAGAGGCTGTGAGATGCTGATGGATGTGAGGTTAAAAACTTGGGAAAACGGAGCGTCCGGAATCAGAGACAGGTCTGCTGAGAACAACACGCAGATGTCTCCGAGCCTTGTAACCATAGATCCTGCTCCTGAGCGTGATGGCACCACAGCTCCCAACCAAGAAGCTGGAAGGTTTCTTTTCTTTCCCCGTTTTAATGTGGGCAAAACAACATTCCTCCTCTCCTTCCTCCTCTCCCTAGTTTTTCTTGGAAATGGTTGAATTGGTTTGGCTGACGCTATTAGAATAAATTTAGCCTGAGAGAGACACACAACCTGAAAGTCTCAGATGAAGCGATAAAAGCCCGACAGAATACAGCAATGGAGAACAGGTTCTTGGAGTTGAAGTTACAATACTAGATGGTACTACGAGCTTAGACTAAATATAACCCTGAGCTACATCCCAGGAGAATATCCAAGCCTTTGTCCATTGTAATCTCTCCTGTTTTCTCACTCTGTTTTTGCATGTGTGCATACGAGACAGCTTATCAAAACCACACACACTCCGTGAGACGTTTACCTTGATCCTTTTGGAGAGGGATGGTGCTGCAAAGGGCAGGCTGCTCCTCAGCTGTACCTGGCGTGCCGAGCCCCTGCCCTCCGCTCAGAACCACAGGTGATGTGGAAAGAGCCGGCACCACGTTTGATTGCCAACAGACAGACGTTCAGATGGTAAAGAAGAAATTCGTTAATGGAAGTCGGATGCGTTCAGCTCAGTGGGCCCTAATTAAGCGCAGGCCTGGAGTAAGGAGGGAGCAGGGATGTAGCCAGAGCAGCCTCCAAACCATTCGCAAATACCTCCTAGAAGCTCTCAGAGGATGGGCGAAGGGTGAGCATTATCTAACTTCAAACAAAACGGGGAAAGAGACAGATCTGAGGTATCATAGACCAAACAGCCTGGCTTTGATACCAACTCAGACAGATTATTCAAGCCACTTGTAAATACTTCTGGTAGGTGTTGATTTATCACGGAGCAGGAGGGAGAGGGGACGAGCGTGCGGCCCAGCAGGAGCAGCGCCATTTCCAGCTCCCTGCAACCCTGCAGCTGCATCCACTCCCACACGATAAAGTTGTAAGAAAACAGAAAACACAGACTTGTCAAGAGCAAATTAAGTCTAATCAATGTAATTTTCTTCTTCAGCAGAGTTGGTAGCGTAGTGACTAGGGGGAAAATACAGAAGTTGCACGTTGGAAGGAGGAAAACTTTGGATGGATGCATGTGACAGTTTTATACGCAAAGCAGGTGAATA